TCGCGATTGCTGAGCAAGAAAACGACACATTCATATTCCAATGCCGAGGTTAAGAGAAAGTCGATCTTGGGAACTATTAACCTATTTCGATAGCCTGGTTATGGTCATCAATATTGAAAGAATTGACATCTGTCCTCACTTGAACTGCTGTACATTTGTAGGAGCACTGGATGAATGAATTTCGTGTGCAATACAGATCAGATGATTTGCCTGAAGTGGTGCCTCAAGAACCATACTGGAAAAAAGTTCAGGAGGACTTATTAACCCTTCTAAAACGCGACTCTAGCATCTCCATGGATTTGGAAGAGGTAGCTCCGTTTTATGTTCCATGTTATTTGAAAATATTAGGCAAAGATTTCAGTCAAACATTCTTATGTACGCTTTGGAACTTTCATTATGTGTGATAGAGGAGTCTCGATGGCTTAATGAAATATCGAAAGATCCAGAATTATCCCGTCTAGTTCATGAGGTTAGCGGAATATACCATATTTGTGAAATAGCAAGCTTTCGTTGGAGTACTTGCCAGAAATCCCTTACGAATTTTTACACCTACTTTTTACTAGATAGACCTGAAATTTCCTCTTGCCATGAACAGTAGTACACTTGCTAACAGTGTCCCAGCTAGTGTTGATGAGTTAGAGAACCGTAGTGCTGGTCAGCCGGACGTTCCTTGTTTCGACCTAGCAGATGCTGTCAATACAAAGCCGACATTCTTCTTCAACAAAAAAAGGTGATTTGAATCATCATAAGGTCACTGTGTCAATTTTTCAGTTGATTATGTTTTGAGGGCAGCGCGCCGATCTTTGATTGCTAAAGGAGCCGATGCTGATCGGTCTTCGAGAAGTCCGGAGCACGTTTGGAAGAAAACAATTCTGCCTATATTGGAAAGGTACTATTTAATTTGACAGTAAGAAGGCGGTTCCACATCTTATAAAAAGAATGTAATATGACGATAAGGAATCGTTTTGTATTCCATCTTTTGCTTTTAGGTTTCAAAAACATCCTCTTGATAATGTTAACCTTTTATTTGCTGCCTACTATAATTTTCACCACAGGTTATGATGTGAGATACAAGCATAGTGTTGCTGAGATATTCTCAGAACTTGGATATTGTGTTAGTTGGCCAGTGGATTAGGGAGTTGGTCGGTTTGGTCTTTTGTCCGCCAACTGTACGTGGAATGCTCGACTTTGTATGAATTCGCCACGCGGGACTTTTCTCCGTAACTGTCTTGAACAACTTCGAGTTTGGATATAACAGTTTATAGCAACAATAACGATACAATAATAATGTGTGATATTTGACGATATGTAAGCTGGGTGGATAAGAGCGGGATTGAAATGGGAACAAGTGATACACTCTTGAAGGAAGCAAGGCGAACACTGGAGTTGGAGCACTGAGAAATTGAGCGACCGGAAGAAGACCGGACGAACACGGCTAACACTTCAGGACGAGTCCTATGGGCTGCCTGTATTACTTCTGTAGTGGGTGGAGTTTTGAGGTTCTAAAAGTTTTTCTACTAGCACAATTTGATAAGGCTACATGTGGAAGAGTGCAGGTGTTTGTTCGGAGACTTTTTGGGACGACAGATGCTGAAAAGTACATTCAGCTGACTGCTGCTGATTCCCTTTCCAGCCACCTGCGAGGCATTTGCATGAAATGGTTGCTAAGAGACGATTTGCAGAATATGCAAGAATAGATGTATGACGATTACAGATACACAGGTGTTGTAGAAGACATAAGGTGACATAGAAATAGGAACTATTTAAGAATAGTTACTATACTCCCCGCCGCGGTTAGGATTATGGCACAGTACGTGTCTTTGAGCTCGGCAGTAGAATTGTACAACGTGTAATAATTGGGAGAAGTATAAATAGAGTTTTGGTTTAGTATAGGTGCGGAGTTTTGCAAATATCTCAGCATTTCATACGAGTTATAATTCGAAACATACCCTGCCATTAAGAAGAAAAAGGCAGTAAATAAAAGAGTTAAGATTGTGATTATAACTAAGCCTCAGCTTAACTGGGTTCAATGCCAATATTGGCTCCCCAGATAAATCCCGTTGACGGGTGATTGCTGATGGCAAAAAGATCGATAGAACTAGCTGAGAGACAGGCAAGACGAAGGACCCGGATGGTGTGGTGATGAAGTGCGCTCTTCCCCGGTAAGGACAACAGCGCGTGTTCGTTCCCCACCACATATACCTGCGGTCCGGAGTTTTGTAAATATATCACCATTATATATGATTTATTAGGGTTTGCTTGTTGCCATACTTGGCCTTTAGATGATCTATGACTATGGGATAGGATTGTTGTGAAATTTCATATTGCTTGATGAAAGTTTCAGCCTTCCCGTGAAGAGAGTATAATAGATAGTTCATTTTGAAACGGTCATCCATTTGCGTTGAATGGTCGGAGTGCTCGAATGCTCCCCAAAGTGCTTCCCATTCCCAAATATCACCGCTGAATTTGGGGATAGGGATGGGCGGTAAATTTCTCACCGGTGGAGCGATATGTGAGTCATTTTGAGCGTTGTTTTTTGTGCTGTCTAGTTTATTCCTCAGCTCGAGAAACTTGGAGAGGTAGTCTTCTGCCTTATCGAGATGTTCTAGTGATCTGTTCACGTTTAGTTTTATGCCTTCTTTTAGTTCCTCTGGTATTGGAGTTTGTAGCTTGGAGTTGTCTGCCGCTTTAGTGTAATTGTCCAGTGCTGCCTCCAGACTGTCTCGGTCCTTTGTAATGGCCGATGTCGCTTGTTTTATAGCGTCTTTCCGTGCAACGAGATATTCCTTTCGTCGAGGTTCGTTAGAAGGAATGTCTACTGGAGAGTTTACCTCCTGGTCGCATTTGTTAAATGAGGATTTGAGGCGGTTAATGGCCTTTGTTAGTGCGCCCAGGAGAGAAGAGAGGGTGTTCGACACTTTTTTCCCTTTTTTAGTTTTTATATAACAAATAAACGTACTTGCACGTAGGCTTCTCTTCGTGAGGTTGTCCGAGATGTTGCTTGAGTCTTTGAGCGATGCTTGGTCGCTTGAAGTAGAGATGGCAGATGCATTGAAATATCAGAATAGGAGAATATTAGGTGGTATGGCCAATAGATTGGCCTAGTGATGGCGTTGAGCGTTGTGTTGAGTTGAGCGTGGAGTTGCGTTGAGCGTAGAATTCGAGTCGAATTGGCCAATACACCAATTTGTATTAGTTAGTGCAAGAAGTTGGCCGAGTGGTAGCGTTGAGTTGAGTTGAGTTTAGCTTAGAGTTCAACTCGAATAGGCCAATGCACCAATTTGTGTTAGTTGGCCAGTGGATTAGGGAGTTGGTCGGATTGGTCCGCCTTTTGTCCGCCAACTGTACGTGGAATGCTCGACTTTGTTTGAATTCGCCACGCGGGACTTTTCTCCGTAAGTGTCTTGAACAACTTCGAGTTTGGATATAACAGTTTATAGCAACAATAACGATACAATAATAATGTGTGATATTTGACGATATGTAAGCTGGGTGGATAAGAGCGGGATTGAAATGGGAACAAGTGATACACTCTTGAAGGAAGCAAGGCGAACACTGGAGTTGGAGCACTGAGAAATTGAGCGACCGGAAGAAGACCGGACGAACACGGCTAACACTTCAGGACGAGTCCTATGGGCTGCCTGTATTACTTCTGTAGTGGGTGGAGTTTTGAGGTTCTAAAAGTTTTTCTACTAGCACAATTTGATAAGGCTACATGTGGAAGAGTGCAGGTGTTTGTTCGGAGACTTTTTGGGACGACAGATGCTGAAAAGTACATTCAGCTGACTGCTGCTGATTCCCTTTCCAGCCACCTGCGAAGCATTTGCATGAAATGGTTGCTAAGAGACGATTTGCAGAATATGCAAGAATAGATGTATTACGATTACAGATACACAGGTGTTGTAGAAGACATAAGGTAACATAAAAATAGGAACTATTTAAGAATAGTTACTATAGATATCACGCCAGATCGAACCACGATTAGCCTTTCCGGGGCTCGCGCGTTACTACACCATTGAGGCCCATGCTTTACCTTTCTCTCAGCTAGTTTTCTACCTACCAAAGTTGTACAGATATCTCGTCATCATTGTGGTTATTCTCTTGATAATCTTTGTTCCACATTTTACTCCTTCTGCGACCTATTTCTGTCCTACTTTCATAGCCTTTCTGTACTCCACTATCCCGTATTTCAATATTTTACCAAATTATATGTAGAATAATTTTCAAGAATATCAAATCTTAACTAAAATTAGGCCGCTTTACAACTTAGGACTGTAAGTAGCGGCATTCTTTGTATATACGTTGTATTCATTATTACTTGCAGTCTTTTGCAGTTTACACATTTGCAATCACAATTTGCTAAGATATTCCTGACATTCGCGCAAAAGACCTTCTATGAGTTAGCCATTCCGGTTCAAAAAATTTGAAATAGTGATCTAGTAGAGTTATACACAAATTTTGAACCATAAGGCAACGTCTCTCCAATGGGTCTGTTATGCCGTGAAGTGGGTCTCGGCTGGAGTGCGCCCTGAGTTATTAATAGGTTCTGAGCGACGTTAATTATCAAGGAGTTATCCGTAGTTATCGAAAAAGCAATACGCTCGTGTTTTAATTTCATCAATTGTCACTTACATGGCTCCTGTCGTTAATTTTCTTTCTATCCGTACTTTATACCATTTACGTTCTTTCCTAGTTGTGGTGGCATGTCTAAAAGAAACTGATGAGAAAAGATAGCTTAAGATTAAGTCCTTATTTATGTTCCTTATAGCTTCGTAGAGGCGGAGCCTCTACGTGATCCACGAGTTGCCCACTGGATAGAAGACATGGTCCAAAATCATGACAAGGTAACAGTTTATTGCGCACAGTGTTATCACCCCTTCCTTTGGACATTGATATTTGCTTTCATTGATGAAGGAGACCTACTGTTTTCAGCTAATGTTGTTTCAAGGAACATCACACGACAGCAGTGTCGGCAATTTTGATGGAAATCTTACTCGACTTAGCACCAATTCTGAGTGCGGACCTCTTCGTGAGTCATGGATATTCACGTTGTGGAAACCGGAGAGGTTCTTTCAAAAGCTATTCTACTTATATTAACGTAAAAGTGGTCTTGTACGCTGTGGTGATATATATGATATCGTCTTTCCATTTGCATTTTTCACTATTATGAAGATTTTCAGCGTGAAGGTGCTGCTTGAAGCTCAGAATTATCGATGCAGTGGATGTGGTATTCGCGTGGAGAAAGAGTATATTAAGCGAGTCAAGTAAGCTGCATTCTTAGTAGTTTTTTCGAGAGCATGAAATATAACCACAACGATGCTGAAATGTTCGCAAAACTAGCACCCTGGGTCAGATCGAACCACGATTATTCTTTCCAGAGGCTCGCGTATTACAGCGCTCCACTGAGGTTCTTGCTTTGCGTTTCTCTTAGCTAGTTTTCTACTTATCGCTGCCATCAGCAATCACCCATCAGCGGAATTGATCTGGGAAGCACAAATCGGCATTGAACCCATTGATGGCATCGATGTTTTGGTCGAAAATATGTGTCAGCTATATATGTTAAAATATGTGGAAGACATGTTAACTCAAATGTGTTTTGTCTCTGGCATAAGAGCGAAAAGGTCATTTTTCTATCATATTTATGCTGTGGTTTGTTTCAGATATTGCGACTATTACGGCAAAGTTTTCTGTCAATGCTGTCACCAGGGTGCGAAATCTACAATTCCAGCAAGAATACTACACACATGGAATTTCAAGTATGTTCGGAGCTTCTCTGTTCATTAATTAGGATTCCTACATGTTTATTCACACTCTTCGCAACTCAGATCGTGTGTAGCTTATATGCTTCTACAATAATTTAATAGTTTTATGTCAACTTCGCGTGCAGCGCAGTGGTCGGAGGCGCCGTGCAATACATACGGGATCGATCCCAGCGCCCTAGGCTCACCAAGCCTTTCATCCCTCTGGGGTCGGAAAGTTGGTACCAGACTTGGCTGGGAGGAGAGCAGCACTGGTCCGATACATCGGTAGGTCACCGCGAGTCATTGTAACGGCCAGTTATGCACTCAACCACCTCCAACGATGCTTAATGAAGTCGAATGCTTCGCGCATTCCTCAGGGATTAATCAACGCCGACAGCTTTGTCCTTTCATGTTAATTGCAGTAGTAATGGTCACTGACGTACTTGTACGAAGAAATCGATCCGTATCAAAATGTGATTTCAGTGAATACCCTGTGTGTGACATTGCATCACACTTTCTACAAGAAGTTCAGGACGTGCCTGCAATCCATATATTCCATGTAGCGCCACGCATTGTAAGGAAGCTGTAGTTATTTTGTTTGATTGAGGAAAAGAAACAATTGAACTTATTGGTTCTAGGTCGAAAAAGTACGCGTCCTTAAACATGTGATCATGCTGCGGGAAAAATTGTCATATATGTGGGATTTTGTGAAAGAATGTCCTGATGCTGAGGAGGCGGTGACAAAATACGGGAAGTGGGTTTGATCCAAGAGTTGCTACCATCAAAGTTATCATACCTTATTCTTTGTGGGTTGTTTGTTTTAGCCTTCGCACATTGTTCACTTCGCTAGAACACCATTTGCTTCACTCTCTGGATTTGTTTTCTCTATCTGACCTCATCCGTGTACATAACAAAGATATGACTTCACTACTTGAACCAATAGTGTACTACGCTAGATGTCATATAGAAGCTTGTGAGGTACGGTATTTTGTCATTTTTCCAGTAAACACTGCGGAATATTTCCAAAACTAGATCTTCGTGAACGCAATCAAATCTGCTTTCCATGTTCCAAATTTAGTAGTAGTAGTAGTAGTAGTAATCTTAAGAACTTGCGTACAGAAGTTAGAGAATAGGGGATTTAGAACTTAAAGGGCACAGAATATATGGAACTTAAAACTTGCAACGATTCTTCTCATTGGTTCACTCTTAACAGCTTCGTATGGAATTCGTTTGCAGATGTGGAGTTCCTCCACTTAAATCATTCTCACGACTCACATTTCACTATTGCAGAAGAAAATTCGCTGTGAGTGGTACTATATAGACAAGCTAAAATCCATATGTTGGTGTAAGGAGTGGATTTTCTACCTATAGTTTTGTTAGTACAGTAATATCACCATCAGCTCCTGGGAATCATCAAGTAATTAGAGCGAACATCGATGAAACTTTCATTAATCCCTATCCTTGTCAAAACTGACCAGTGTGTTTACGTGTCCTCATGGTAAAAAAGGCACCTTTTTCGTCGAAATTCACTGTCTATATCCATTGGGGTATACCCTCTATGTTGATTCTTGTGCTGTGGTTATCTTTCAGATATATGGCTGCACTGGCACACGAAATCTTACTGTATCATTGCATTGTTGCCGAAACTCTGTTGTAGACTGTATTTTGGACGACCGATTCCTTTTCTTACCATTGTGAGCTGCGATACCGGAAGTAGTCCTCTCCTTACTCGTTGAAGGATAGTGACCAAAACTCCGTCACCTTGTTTACGTTATGTCGAGGTACTCTAAGCTTATGTCAAGCAGAAAAGATTCGTGGTATCGAAGAACTTTTAGCAAATAAGATTGTACTTCATCTTCTTCATTACACCTTAGATGCTCTTATTAACGTCCCTGGTCAGTTCACACTTCTCAGCATGAGAGTTAAGTTGCTCATCATGTTAACGCTGTAATCCAAGTATGCATAAGTGATTCAGTGCATTCCGCTGACTGGACACGAAGAACAAACCTGTGTCTCATGAATGTCGCTCACATGTCATACTATTTACTTGAATACTTGTATGGCCCGTCTTCATTTGTTGTGCCGATCCCAGAATAATTTCCGTTTTTTCGGAATTTTGCTGGTTTAGCCATTGTTCCCTGGAGTGCCGAGGTCAGCCTAGCCAAAGTCTGCCGTAGGTCGTCACCACCACAGGCAGTCGCTGCCTTTGTGGATCAGAGAGAGATTTACCACCATGCGAATAGTTTGATACCAAAACGTTGGTGGATGCAGATATTGGTTTACTCTTGGTTGAGCTTCTTAATGGAAACACCGGACTCCTCAACTTGGCAGACCCTGCTGCAGAGATGAGTTCCTCCGCTGTACATCGATGCCCGACACTCAAGAACACTTCCCATCCACATGAGTCGCTAAACTATTGAGAAGCACATGTCATATAGTCCACTGAACGTCAAACAACTGTTGATACTAGATGTAATGACGTACTATTGTTCCCTTTTTACGCTGTAAGTTTTTCCTTTTCTGAAAATAATGCATGAAGTGCGTAAGTGATTTGTGTCCATCGTTTCAGCACTGCAAACAATTTGCTGCAACCTGTGCATACTGCGAGAACTCACAAGAAGTGCTTTTTCCTTTTCAATTGGAGAAAGTCTACAAGTGTGGTAAATGCGCGTCATTGTCACATCTTAAATGTCAGGCAAAATTTAGACGAAAAGCTTCATGCCAAGATGGTTGTAAGAAGTGCTTGAGAGTTCCAAAAGATAAATAGGTTATGGATTTTCTACGTGCACAAATATTCACAGCATATTTAATACATTTGCTTTTGTGTTCCTTTTTATTTTCACTTGTCACTAAGTTCTAATCCTCGTTGAGCGCGCCAGAATCCAACGTTGTGTGATCCGAAATCCATTCTCACTGTGTTGTAATAAACTGAATTAAAAGCCTCTCGGTTTTTTACTGTGATTTTTTTCTCAGCTATTAATAAAGTGGTATCAGTCATGATGCCAGATGCCTTATTGTTGCATTATATTCATTATTAACATGTGTAGTGCACTGTTCAGAGGCGCCCTTGTCCATTGTTAAGATAATACAATGGCACACAGACAAGACAGTAAAATGTTCATTAGTCACTGCTGTGCTCCAGAACTACTTCGTAGGTGCGGTTTATTCAAGTGACAGAAGGCATCGCAAGTCTACTGTTCGAAGTATTTTATTGTGAAGTACAACTAGTATGGTACTGAGAGATTTGCAAACTTCAGGTGATAGGAAGTAGATTAAGAATAAACAGTGTGATTTCGACCGTGGCCTCAGATTAGCTAGGTTTAATGCCGATTTGTGCTGCCTAGATCCATCCCGTTGACGAGTGTTTGTTGATGGCACCGTTAAGTAGAAAACTGGTTGAGAGAAAGGCAAAGCATGGGGCTCAGTGGTGTAGTGGGTAACACGTTAGCTCCCGGAAATGGTAAGCACAAGTTGGAATCTGGCCAGGAGTGGTGCACTGGATAACAGGTGAACTCCCGGAAATGGTAATCGCGGGTTAGAATCTGGCCAGGGTTCCAGGTTTTGCAAATATCGCAGCATAATAGAGATTGCCTTTCACGTTATACCCTGCTGTGAAAAAATAGGCATAGGCGGTAAATAAAAAGTGGACATATTTTTGTTATTTTTGGCGAGATGGTAACCATGGATAGTTTGTCTTTACTAGAAATAACAATGCGTACCGGAATTACATTGTCTTTAATCGGTGTACATCAATATTAGAAGATAAGTAGAATGTACGAGTATCTTTGAAAAAGGGAGGTGTGGTCAAATTTATAAAATTTCGAATACTGGAACAGTCGGTTACTTGGCTGTAAGCAGTGCAACACTTCGTTGTATTCAGTAGATAGTCTGATAGCACAGTGGTAGTGATGTCCGATACTAGCTCCGGGTCAAGAATTCGGTCTTCTTTAGTACCAGGGAATATTAGCCGAATAGAAAATATGTCAAGTCAATATTTTTTCTTTGTAGCCAATTTGACATCAATTTGGCCTTATTGGGGAGATTGAGTGTTCGGCTAACCCGCGCCGTGGGATCGAACCGGTAACTATGTGTGCATTGCAGGTCACATCTAACTACTTTGCCACGCGCATGTTTAGACAGTAACGTCGAGTTCAATAGCAAAGCATTCGAAATTTTCCGTGAGAAAAGGTGGTATTCCCAAAAGACTTCAATAACCGTGGAAATAGTGTGAATATGGTCCTTGCAACAAAATCTCTGTCGAAACACTGCGTGCACAACTGGTTGCGTCAAGTCCTTAATATGCGAGACAGAGTAACCTTCATGAAGAACTTGTAGGGTACACTCAGCAAGCATATTGGGCAGTAGTTATTACGAAAATCTCTTCGGTCACCCTTCGTGGGTAGGATGGCCTTGCCCAACCTCCTCCACTGGGCTGGAGTTTTCTCTTTCTAAAAGTTAGATGTCGTTTGACTTGTTATAAGTAAAAGAAAAAGCCCTTGGCGTTGATCAATCCCCGAGGGGTGCGCGCCATGCATTGAACTTCATCAAGTATCGTTGGAGGTGATTGAATGCATATCTGGCCTTTACAATGACCTGCGGTGGCCTACCGATGTATCGAGCCAGTGCTACCATCCTCCCAGACGAGTCTGGTACCAATTTGCCGACTCCGGAGGGATGGAACGCTTGGTGGGCCATGGGCGCGGGATCGATTCCACGTGTGTGTCGCAGTGCCGCCTCCAACCGCTGCGCCACACGCGCTCCTTTGCTAGAAGTACAAGTATTAATTTATGGCCTACAGCTCTGAGAAAATCGGCGGTGACACTTTTGAGTCATGGAGCTATGCCTCTATACTTTCTATCTCAACTCGAGCATTTGAAGATAGAATCCTGGGCAACTCTTCACCAGACAGGATTTCGGGGTCCGAGAGGTGTGTTGAGAAGCGGGAAAGATTGATATAAAACTTTCTGTTGTCGTTTTCATATAATGATGGGATGCAGCGATAGTCCTATCTCCGTTGATCAGGGCGGATGGCGGAACATTGTAGTCGCAAAGATCCCAACGACACGTCTTCAGACTAAATCGTTTTTAAGCTGCTCTCAATAACTTTTTTTCTGCTTGTACCGATTTAGATCCTCCTGTAAAGATCTTCTACAAGTGACATTTATTATCCACCATATTAGGTGTGTAGGGGTAGGATCAAGCTTCAGTTTACTTCTCTTTTCGAGTACCTCCTTAATGACGATGGAGATGCAGTTTGAACCTCTTGTCTGAGGAACTGAGGTGAGATGTGTGCAAGTTTTAAGTCCCTTAACAAGCAGTTTGCTCTCTTCGGTCAAATTCCCGTTTATCTGCTAGTCGCATAAGAAGAAGATTTCATTGAGAATTTCATCGTCATGCACGACTTGCTTTGCTTTTCTTTGGCGACAACGGTATTTTTCTAGGTTATGGCTGAATCGAACCTTCGCACGTAGAAGGCGGTGATTAAATTCAGTACAGAATCTAAGTACCAGTGAAATGCCAAAGAGGCATCATTACCTGTTCGCAAAAATTTGATCGGTCTCCATATGTGTCGTGGCATTAGAAGACTCCCATGTCTGTCAGCGATTTTTTCTTTTCTCGAAAAATAAATCTCCATGGAAAAGGTGTGCTGTGAACAGGAGTTCTGCAATACTGTTTCCACTCTGATTTTGTTTTCCTATTCCTGTTTTGGGTCACGTGTAGTGAAGAGGTCGGAGGCGCCCTGAAATACACATAGGATCGATCTCTGCGCCGCAAGCTCACCAAGCCTTCCATCCCTCCAGGGCCGGCAAACTCGCACCAGACTTGTTTGAGAGGATAGCAGCGCTGACTCGATACATCGATAGCACACTGCGAGTCTTTGTAAAAGCAAGATATGCATTCAATCACCTCCAACAATGCTTAGTGAAATTGAGCATCGCTCAGGGATAGATCAACGCCAACAGCTTTTATCTTTATTCCGAATTTTCCCTGTATTTTTCATTTTCGTATTCGTTTACGTTAGTCGTTCCTAATCTGGCGTTGAAGTCTCTAAAAACAATTTAATAGAAAGAATTCTTTTTGTGCACAACTTCCTCCAATTGGCTGTAGAATGCGTCCTCTTCGCTCTAATCTGCCGTACAAGTTAGTAAGCAGCACTTTCTAAAACGGACTCTCTTTCGATGCGGAACTTGAAGTAGAAAAGTGGTCAAGAGCGGTGATAGGATTTGGTATGTCACTAAATAGAGAATCAATGCGTGCACGACAAAGCCAACCTCTCAGACATTTCTTGACGGAAATTCTCCTACAAAAATGGCAAAGGTTCCACAATATAATTGACGTTTGGCGAGGGCGATCAAATGGAATTTGCTGCAATCGGCAGCCTCAAAAAGAACGTAAAGGCCAGGGTCTCATGGGGCTGTTCCGGCGTTATAGGGGAATAGCAAGCGGTCTCGACGTGTATCCTGGTCGTGCTCATTCTATCCGGTTTCAATGACATCCTCTTCAACCCGAGATTTGGTCCTATCTCGCCGGTGGTCTCACAGCCCGAGTTCTTAGATTGAGGCGTTCAGTATGCAAGGTACTGGGGCCGGAATGTTGGAATTTAGCACTGTTGTTCCCTGGAGTTCCGAGGCTTAGGTGATGCTTTTCTAAGGTCGTCGCCACCCTAGGCAGTCGCTATCTTTCTTCAGTAAAGAGATTTGCCACCATGTGACTAGTTTGGCACCAGGACGGTGGTGATTCCTGCCATTAGTATCGATTTATTCATAGCTGAGTTTCGGAATGGAGACGTCGAATTCCTTCTCAACTTTGGAGACCCTGCTGGAGAGATGAACACCCCGCTGTACATCGCATTCAGACACCCAGAAATACCTTAAAGCCACGATGAGGCGGTAAACCTTTGGGAAGATCTACAGTATACTAATTGAAATAATATGTTATCGTTCCCAAGATCGACTTTCTCTTAACCTCGGCATTGGAATATGAATGTGTCGTTTTCTTGCTCAGCAATCGCGAGGTTTTTAAACAGCATACATTTACTTCCATAAAAACACAATACAATACAACGCTAGCTGACGTTTCGGCAGTATCGCCTTCTTCAGAGCCGCTTTTTCGTGACTTCCAATGAGGAAGTTTAGAACAGCTGATTATAGTCGCATGTGGTTGACGACTCAACTCAAGAAGGCGATACTGCCGAAACGTCAGCTAGCGTTGTATTGTATTGTGTTTTTATGGAAGTAAATGTATGCTGTTTAAAATCCTCGCGATTGCTGAGCAAGAAAACGACACATTAATATGTTATCGTTCTGTCTCTAAAGATAACGGGGTATTTGCTTGATTGGACGTATAAAAACTTACCTGCAGAAGTTTGGAAGAACGATTGAGCTCTACATAGTTGTTGAACCTGGTCGACTAACTGCGGGAATCGCTGACATGTTGTTGGACTCTTAGTAGCAAGACAGTAAGCCTGCTAACTCACGGTGGCCAATCAGCTTGTGGCAACGACGTTGAAACTTCCCAAAACGACTATTTCGAAATCGAAAATTATTTCGAGATTTTGGAAAAACCACGCTCATCCAGCACCCAACATATTGTAACACACGACATCACAGAAAACGAATGACCTACGGAATTTCAGCTATGGTTACTGCTTCCCACTATGTAAACATGACGTAGAACTTTTTGTTTACTGTCCATTGTCATTCCATGGCAAGGTATTATGCGAAATACGGTTAAAATGATGCTAAGATATGTAAACAGAGCTTCAGTCATTTTTTTAAATTGTGATCGTCGTGTTCTTCCAAATGCTGCGGACTACATCAAATATAATTTGTTCACCCTACGAGAAACTATGGATAGGAAGACTTTCACTCGATGGATGAACAATGACTCCTATCATCTTAGCAACCTAAGAGAATCGTGTTGGTGCTTCACCATATGCAGTTCCTAACCTTTGTGGATTAGAGTGAGCTCTTCCCTGGTAATTTTAGTGCCAACTTTCCAACCTTAGAGGGATGGGAAGACTAGTTGCTCTAGCGGGCTCGAAACAAGGTCTTGCATAGATTATTGAAAACAATCTCTTCATCGGCTGCGCTATCCGCGATCCTTATAATCAAAGCGGGTGAGCCAAAAGAAAAGCTGAGGGTGATGATTTCGTCAACAAATTCGAGCGACCTATGCGTAGGCTATGTTTTTACACGCGACATAGTGTCATCACATGTTTTATCATCTAAGTCCTGTTTCCGAAAAATGATCCGGCCGGTATTTTTGTTACGGTTTTGTTAGTGGTTGGTTGGTTAACTTTCTATCATTTTTTTTCCTTCATATAAACGTAAGTGTGAGAGATTTCATCGTTAACGCTGTGATGAAGCATAATGACTTGTCCTTATAGTGTAGTGCACACAACATCTCCAAAGAGCATCGATAAATCCGGTCATCTGGTAGAAGCCGAAGTAAGGTATAAGGTAAGCTGAAGTATAAGTAAAATAATCCTATCCTTATAGCTGGATGTTTTTTAGGAGGCAAATATAGAGGAAATGAAACCCGAAAGAAGTGTGAGCATAGCTGAACTTTTCTTTGTTAATAAACAAGTGAACAGTGGTGTGAAAAAGTAACATATACTTAAGCGTCTACCGCTAGACCTTGAAAAGCAACCACATTATGCAGGACTACGGTAGTCAGTAGCTATTACCAAATGATTAGGTTATAATTCCCAAGACCTTTCTGTTAACCTCTGCATTGATTGATAATTCGATGTTTTTCTTCAATAAGCAGACACGAAGCTGTTATTATAGAATTTATTAGGATACAATAGCTGACGTTTCGGCGGTTTGGCCTTCTTCAGAGCCTGGAAAGGTCAAATTGAGATGAGATCTACCCAGCCAAACATTTTCATAACCCCAGCAGGTGAAACTTAACAAATAAATTTGTATTCGCATAAGAAACAGTTTCATTTAAACACCTACCGTTTATTTGTTGTAAATATTTAAGTTAGTTGATGGATAGCAGCCGCACAAAGTAATACATGGGCGAAGACTGTGCCTGTGTCAGGTCATTGGATCAGCCAGAGGTAAGGCACTAGATCACACGTGATGACAAGACACTCCTCTTTGTGGTTCATTTTTGAATTTTTGGAATTGGTCCAAAACGCTTCAAGAGTTTCACGCGCTGATGTTTTCGATTCGTGCGTGAGGATAGTGACTCCTATTTCAAAATCTTCTCCGTTGTGTTCCTGTATCCTATGCGCGCCAAGTGGAGTGTTTGGTTTTAATTTAGATTTACCGACTAGGTGTTCCTTTATGCCGACGCAAAGCGGTCTACCCGTTTCACTAACGTATTCCTCCTCGCACGCTTTACAAGAGATCAGATAGACTGTACCCGAATTAATACAGCCACCGTCTCTACCACTGGGCAAATTATGCAATTTTGTGTTGCACATAGACGGTCATATAGGCGGTTACGAACTAGCAGGCGCCTAAGACTACTCGGTGACATTTCAACCACGTTTACCGAATTCTCTAGACCAGCCCTTCTTAAGCAGCGTTTTATAGCTGCACTTACTTCATTTGAAATGAAGGGCAGTATAAACGGGACCTTATTGTCGCTAGAGTTATCGTTGGGGTATCTGTGGTTTCCTCTACGCCTATCTCAAGGTACAATTTCGTAGCTATTAAAAATGGCTATTTACCGCGCCAAGTTCCGGGATTGCTCTTTGCTGTCTTCCAGTGCACACGCCGGTAGCTGTTCGAAACATGTTTCTCACAAGCGCCCTTTTCGTGTGAGAAGGGTAAGAGGAGAGGTAATGAACCAAGATGTTTTTACTACGTGGCCTTCGATACCATTTCGTAATGTAGCCGTTTTCTGATAAGTTAATTTGCACGTTCAGAAATGGAAGCCAGTTTTCTTTCGGTTTCTCACGGGTGAATTTTATGTACTCTGACTGTTCGTTCAGTAACTCAAAGCATTTGTCCATCTCCTCTTGTGTGGATGACAAAACAATCATCTATATACCTACAGTAGAGTAATGACCTGATATCGATTACTGGTGCTTCCACTTCAGAGATAAAGGCAACGGCAAGGGTTGGTGCCAGTCGCTGTCCTATTGCCAAACCTCTAATTTGCGCGTAATATTTCCCGGACCATCTGAAGATCGAGCAGTTTAAGCAGGCTTTTAGGAGAACCATAAGCTGCTGAATCGAAAAGCCATACATGTTAATTGCTCCTTCGTGTTGCTCGAGAAGCTCGCGGATGGCTTGCATTGCGGAGTCATTCGACACGTTAGTGTAAAGGGCGGTAACGTCGAACGACTCTAATAACGTCCGCGCTTTTGGGACGTGCGTTGCGCAGACGGTCTAGGAACATTTAGGTGTTCATGAGATGAGTTGGTATGTACTTAAGCAACTGGTTGAGGAGTAGATCTATAAACCAAGCAATTCTATCCGTAGGCCCATCTACACAACTGGTGATGGGTCTAACTTTAAATCTAACAGTTATCGCCCATGTATTACATTGTGCAGCTGCTATCCATCAGCTAACTTAAATACTTACAGCAAATAAACGGTAAGTGTTTAAATGAAGCTGTTTCTTACGCAAATACAAATTTATTTGTTAAGTTTTATCTGCTGGGGTTATAAAAGTGTTTGGTGGAGTAGATCGCATCTTGGTTTCTTTCCAGGCTCTGAAGAAGGCGAAACCGCCGAAACTTCAGCTATTGTGTCCTAATAAATTCTATAATAACAGCCTCGTCTCTGCTTATTGAAGAAGAACATCGATTAGGTTATAATTTCAATTCGAGCCTCGTCTAATTAGGGTGTCCGATTTTCTTAAACGTAAACTAAGTCTCATTTATATCTCTTTAGCGCTGATCTCAGTATTTTGGTCCAACTCTGTAAGCCCAGGGTAATCTTGCACTTTTCTTATTCATATAATAATTCATATACATTCTTATTCACATAAGAACAACTTTGACACTAATGAAAACTATGCCGTTGTCGATATGTCGACACATTGTAGTAGTCCCTTCATTCGTCAACTGGTTCGTTTACACTGCCATGTTTACATTGTGTACTTGAATGGCTTCCATACACGAATCACAAGAAATCAAGTAAGTGCTAGCATAAACCGGTTTGACTAGTGGTTTGCTTTGCTGGTTAGATAAGGTTCTTGTTCTTTGGTGTTTCAAAAATCGTGTTGGAATCTTCCCAGGTGAAGTCGTATTTCCGTCTGGTAGGAGTGACTGTTGTAGTAGCTCGGGACTCGGTGCCCAAAAACTCAACCGGCAGCTGTGTGGAGGTGGAGCACAGTGATTATTTAGTTTATTTGTCAGCTTAAACTAGGCTGATATGAAACGTTGTTTTGCCAAACGTTTCTCCGCCATCTTCCTCAAAGTGGCAGTGATTCGAGGTTAGTGCCAATATGTTACAGTTATTTGCTTATCAGCTGTGGGTCTTCGTAGTCGCATTGAATTGAATCTAGTGCCTTGAAGCTCTACACAGATGAAGTGAAGTGATAAACTAAGATGTTAATTATCCATGTTTTGAGGTGAAACGGAAACCCGTGTGAATATGTATTCACAGAGTAATTTTGGATGAAAATCTCAGAAAAGAAGCTTCGGGTCGTCCGGCTCTTATAACGGCAAGAGAACTGCTAGTAGAAAACTTTGCCAAGAAGAATATCGCAAAACCTCCGCAGAATTTTGACTTCGCATAAGTCACGTAGTCATGCAAATGTAAGAATATTGGTTTTGCTTCATTTCGGTCAGGAACAGACTTTCGCACATGCCATCGTGTGCGACTAATTTGTCGTTGTCTTCAGATGACAGATTAACGAAGTCGCTCTCTCACCTTCGTCTCTTTCTTGGAAATATGTTGAGAATCAAATAGGCGTAGTTTTCTCCATAATAAATTGGAGAAGTTTTTGTCTTCTGCAAGTAACATCGATTTTCCAGCACCTCTCACATTCAATTCGTTTCCTCACATCCATCATCCACGAGCATCTTCCAATTATACGTGTGGCTTCGGTCGCTGCTTGAGGATTTACATTTCATCTTGAGTGTCGTAGAATGCTGGTCGAGGAATTCTCGCTGGAGTCCTGAGATAGCCGGGGTGGAGTGTTCTTAATCGGATCGCAGAGAGTGACTTTCTCCGCAAACAAGTCCGGTACCAGTTTTCCGACCCCGAAGGGATGAGAGGCTTGGTAGGCTCAGCGAGGAATCGAACTAGCACCATTCTCGTGATGACGGGCATCACTACCACTGTGCTATCCGCCCCTAGTAACATCAAATGAACTCACACATGAAAAAATTTCATTGTCTTCTTTAGAAATCAACGGCTAACGTAAAAGAGAATATTGATATGCGAGAGCTTATGAAAGCAATTAAAGTCGTAAGAAAAGCAAAAGAACGCAATGTAAGTCGTTTCAATATTTTTGCAACAAAGCTGATAAAGTAGAAGAACCCTAAAACTACAATGATGTGTTAGAGATGAAGCTAGTAGGTATCCACATCATGGAATAACGGCATATTGCCTAAATATTTTACAGATCGACTTATCAACATCCATGGAGTCTTTGGCGATGGCTCAGTTGAAGCCACGTCCACGACGTCGTTCCCACCGTGAAGGCTACGGATGGCAACGCTGCCGTTGGATGCTTTATGTAACAATATGGGTGGCTGCTATAGTGTATTTGATCGCTCTTATGAACAGAAGTAGCATCTGCCCATATATCGTTGGCGTTAAAACGACTGAGTTCTGAGTAATCTTTTCCTTGAATTGGTAGTAACCAATGACGTTTTTATAAACTCTTTAAACGTATGTCGGCCATATATCAATCGTTGCTTTCATTCATCTGTTTCACGCAGAAGCCAATAAAATCTTCATTTCTCGCTGCATCGTCCAAAACTAGCGCAGTGTGCTCTGTTCGCTAGACAGGTTCGCTGAGCACCATGTTTTCCATCTTGGTTCACGGTTCACTGTGAAGAACTCTGACCACCTAGTTGGCGGTCATTCTTCTGAACACTTGTCATGCATCTCTAACGGCTGTTGTCTATCGGTTGTCGTCCAAACTCCCATGTGTCTGACGTACCTCTTTTTCAACATTTTGGCGTGCACAACGGTGTCTCCGATTTTTTATCGTTGACGTAGATGGAAACTTCAGAACCTCCATCTCATTTGTGTGATATAGGATGCTCCCCGCACCGCCCTCGCCGGCGCTTTTGATGACCTTGAGTGATCTTTTATCCTGTTTAGGTAACGACCATGTTTCAGATGCCTACGTTAAGACAAGAATCTAGACAATGGTCTGATCTGTAAAATTTTGGGTTGGCTGTTATATCGGCTAGCAAGACCATCGAGTTGCCATGATGTGCCTATTTCTCCATGATACTCTTCATTAGGCAGTAAATAAAAGTTAAACATATCTGTGAACAACTTTTACACTTTTATTTGCTGCCTTTTTTATCACGGCTGGGTACTATGTGGAATGCAGTTTTGCCCAAAAAAAACTATTTGTGGGTTCGAAGCTGGCCCGGGGTTGAGTTTTTGCAAATATTTCAGCGTCATTGTGATTCTATCTAGGAACAGTTCACTTCCTACAATGAAAGTGGGAACACTCTAGCCCAGTTGTCTCAGAACTCCAGAGGGAATCAAATCGACCAGCATTCAACGACACTCATAAAGAAGGCGATAATCGTCAAACAGTAATCGAAGCCAAACACGTAAAAGTTGGAAGATCTTCGTGGGCAATGGGTGCGAGGAAACGAGTCGTATGCATGAAGTGCTGGGATCCTCACACTAGATGTGAAGACGGGTTGCGTAAAACGAAATTTTTTTAAATGAATAATAAACAGATTTCGAGAATGGACCAATGGAACTGTGAGTTTCATGGATCGTCTTCGTCACCATGAGCCGCTCTCTCAAGCTACTCGTTACACGCTAGTCTGTTGGTCTTAACGTAGTATTCATTAGAAGTTTTCCGGGTCCGGTAAGCATTAAATGTACATAGAGGCATTATGGAAGATGTATTTTTCGTGGAACTTTTCTAAGGTCATAGAGAGCTCCTCAATGGTGTTTTAATTACACTTGATCCGGGAACATGGATAACCAGGATAATCAAAGTTGGTGTTGGCTCACATCTCTTTAACCATAAGCGTCCAATCCGCAGTTTTTTTTTTTCGAAAGAATTAATGTTCATGGTTCAGTTTTAAGAGGGTACCAATGCCGTTGATATCTGTACGATCGCATGGTCTAAGAAACGGTTTTTCTACTGCATCATAAACTGCAGCTATGGACGGTGTTTTCTCGTATAGGCTAATCCGATGAGATCCTACTTACATTTCCTAGTTTGCTACACCAGGTCTTCGGTGGAAGATTCAGGTGTAAGTGAGTGTATATTGTATGTACAGATCGTCATCTTAGTGGTTACAGATTTAAGCAGCCTACAGTCACCCCTTAATCTTAGCAGCCTCTCCGTACTGTTCATACCCTATGCTGCAGTGTCAGGCGCCGTTTCGCGGTGAAAATGATAAGGCCCATTTAACTTACAGTGTTTGTCGATATGGTATCTACTGAATATGATCAGCAATAACAATCAGCTTCCATGTAAGTGCACTCATGAATTGACATGTACACGTAGACGCAAAGTGTATGTGTTGCATCCGACAGTAAACATTCCATCACCTAGATCGACCTGATTTTCAAAGCATCTAAATCATCTAGGAGCATACCACGTAGCCCGTCGACCAACCTCACTGAGGGAGATTCGTGGTTTTCTCATTATTTTATTTCTTTCTATATTTTTTCTTGCTGTTTAGTTAACATAGGGGAGCGTGTGGCGCAGTGTTCGGAGACGCCCTGCGACACACGCGTGTAATCGATCCCTGCGCCCATGGCCCACCACGCCTTTCATCTCTCCGGGATCGGCAAATTGGTACCAGACTTGTCTGGGAGGATAGCAGCACTGGCTCGATACATCGGTAGGCCACCGCAAGTCATTGTAAAGGTCAGATATGCATTCATTCACCTCCAAACGATGCTTAATGAATTCGAATGTATATAACGCATCCCTCAGGGATTGATCAACGCCGAAAGCCTTATCCTTTTTTATCCTTTTCTTCTTACTTCTGTGATATCTGGTACAATAAAAGGTCTCTTTAAGCAGCAAGCATGCTGCGATCATTCTCATTAATATGTTTGAAATTCACTTACCCACCCACTGGTATTAATTGTCACAATTTGCAGGGCACGTCCTCAGGAATCATATAAATCCAAGCACGATGTTTAATCGCTTATTTTTCTGAAGTAGACGAAGACGTCGAAACGTTAGACGAATAAGCGTTTTTTTTACAACAATCACGCGTGAGCTCAATAATATAGAAAACTAATGATTATTCTTACAGAGGTTCAATGAAAGGGAGTTTTTAAGATACCTGATCAGTTAGTTGCAGTGGGGATTGCATAGTTGTCAGTGATGCAGTGCATCAGGAGGTGAAACACTGGTTCGACTACCTCCTAACGTTCCTCTCTGATCCATGTGGGAATGCCTTAGCTCTGTTGTCTTGAAGATTGTAAGGAGAATCGATTTGACCAGTATTCTACGACATTAATAAAAAAGATCGAAAGGAGACGACAGAGACTGTATGCTCAAGCAGCAGCTAAAACAATGCGGGAGATCTTTGAAGACCATTGTGGACAATGAGTGCGAGGAAAACGAATTGAATGCAAGTGCTGCAATCCGCACAGTAAATGTGATAACTGTTGATGTGAAATAAAATGAAAAAATAAAATCACTTAGATCTGTGCAAGCTATTCCAATATCGACTGCTGAAGGATCGATTGTCCATTGAAAAACAAGTTACTATCAACGGACAATCATTGTTAACAACAACCGGCCTGTATAAAAGAGCGCTGCTGTGAAGTTGCCTCATTAGAGTGGTGCTCCACTTAAGAACGTCTGGATTTCTAGAGGCCTTTCAAGTTCAAAGCCTTTCAAGTTGTTTTTAAATCGCTGATCACAACAAACATATCACATCGAGAAGACGAACGACTGTGGACAATCGCCTTGGATCATCGGCTCTGATGAAAACAGAGATGTCGAAACGTTAGCTAAATAAATGTTTGATAACAACCTAGTGTTAGCTTATCAGCGAAAGAAAGTACATTGATCTTTCATACCAAGGTTAAACAAGAGTCGCTTTACATCGTTAAAATCACTTACTTTGCTAAACCGACTTTCAATTAACCTCCGCGTTGATATTCAATACATTTGCTAAGATTCCTCAGCATACAAGAGACTGTTATAAGGCTTTTTTTAACTAACGCTTCGACGTCTTCAACTTGTCAAGAGCCGGTGATCCGAGCCGATGGTCAGCAGTCGTCCGAACTCGCAATGAGGTGTCTTCACAGCAGCATCGAGTTGAATCTTCTTCAATGGTGCACCGTTCGAATGGAAGCGTAAATACGACGTGTGAACTGGAACAATCTAAACAAACATAAAACCACTTAGTTTATTCGAACCTATCAACTAGTTAATTTGGTTTGCTAGGAGGATTTGTTTCGAAGTTCCTCAGTCCTATTCTGGAATCCATAACTCGCATTTGTTGTAAGAAGAGCTCTTTGACATAAGCTACATGTACGTCTTCTATTCCTGTCCCAGGGGACGCTTTCTTCGCTCTGGTACCCATTCTCGCGTTCGTCTCTTTTAACTGCCGTTTTCTTTGTATCATTACCATTCCATCCACCACTGCTTGCCTTCCAAACATATGTTTACACTGCAGTGGTTTGCTACCTTATCGTTTCTAAAAGATGTGGCTGGTTCTCGAATTGTGACGTAGAAGCCGGTTCCATATCAAGAGTAATGTCTTCGAAGCTGAAAAAGAATTCAATTAGGTGCTAAACGTATTGTTTGCCTTTCAAACGACGGGCTTCAGCCAGTGTGTGGATGGCGAAGAAAGTCGTTGATGTACAAAATTGTCGTTCTATATTTCATCTGTACAGTTGTGCACCAAGATGCCTATTAAGATGAGAAAGTGTGCATGAAATCCACCAGTTTGTCACTGATTGTTTAAGAACGCGGCGCCTTGTTTTCCTGCTTCTTTCTTCAATACAGTTCGCCTTATTGACCACAGAACACCGTGATTTCTTCTGTAATATTTCCCGGAAACACAACGACGTAATAAAATAAGCGAAACGAATTTTTAAGATCCTCCCAACGGTTTACCGCCTCATCGTGCCTGGCAGATGTTCCTGGGTGTCAGACTGCGATGGACAGCGGGGTATTCACCTCCTGGCGGAGTCTCCCAAGCTGAGAAGGAGTCCAGCGTCTCCATCAGGAAGCCTAGCTAAGAGTAAACCAATACCAGAATCCACTACCGTCCTGGTAACAAAGTCGCGTGGTGGTAAATCTTTATCTGATCCACAAAGGCTGCGACTGCCTATGGTGGTGAAGACTTGGGGCAGATTTTGGACAGGCTGGCCTCGGGGCTCCAGGCAGCCACAACGGCTTAACCAGCAAATCTCCGAAAAATGGAGATTATGCTAGGGCCCGCACAACCAGTGAGGACGGGTCATTCAAGTATCAAGTAAATAATTTTTAACTCCCAAGTCCGACTTTCTGTTAACCTCGGCATTGATTGAATAATTCTTTTTACTTCTGTTCAGCAAACACGTGTTACCTTATTTCTT